ATGCAAGATATCTTGCTAAATCAAATTATAATCTTGCACTTTGTCTTCTTAATCCACAACTTGATTCAAATCTTTTTTCTGCAAAGGAAATGTCACATTTTACAGTTTTTACTGAGTTTGTTGGTGTTTTTTATACTTTTTGGTTTTTAAAAGCTCCTTTTGCATGTACGGCTTTAGATATGGATTTACAAGCAATTGTAAATCCATATCATTTGTAGGAGGCATGAGTTGGTTAGTTTTTGAGAACCTTGGATTTACAAAAAATGATCTTGAATGGTGTCAAGTTAGTTGTAAGGAATGAGGGAAATACAGCACTTACAGAATATTTAAGGACTGGGTTTATAAACTACATGTAGTAAATGATCCTGCTGAAAGACATTAAAACTTTTTCAAAACTACTTGAAAGTGTGCGTAAATGAAGTGTTGAAGCAAGATATTCTTCTGTCAATAGCAGAGCATAAAGCAAAACATTCAGTTAGTACCAAAAAAAATTGGATTAACTTTTGAAATAACATTTTAACAAACCATATTGTATAATATTAAAGTGATAAAGTGATTGATTATGTTTTTGAGTCTATATTTGCGATTCGAATGTTTTTAATAAAAAAAAAAGCAATAATTGAAAGTAAATAAATTGTTAGATTTTCAAACAATATCTATAAAATTCCTTTAATATATAGATAGAACAATTAAATGTGATTGTTTACTGAAAGTTTTGTTTCATTGCAAAAATTAACTAAATAAATGCGCTAAATAAATGCACAAACTAAATTGGCGCATTAGTAGTGTAAAATAAGGAGATTTCATGAAAAGTCTCAAAACTTCAATGCACTGAAGGAAGTGATAACTATAACTATAAATAAAAATGAAAATGATTTATATGTACTCATCAAAATGCACTAGAAATCAAATGATGACCTTCAATAATAAAAAATTTTGCGGAAATGGAGGGGGCTAATATTTATATATATGTATATGTATACATATGTATATCTATTCTAATTTAAGGCAACAATTTTCCAATATTCTTATTTAAGGTAACAATTGAAACTCCATAAGAGTTTCAATTGTTACCTTAAATAAAAATATTTGAAATTGAGAACGTAATGTTATTGTATTCGGAATGTCACAAAAGAGAATGGAGACTGTACTAAAATCCAAAAAAGAGTGCGACTCCAAATTAATGATCTATTTAGAAAAATAAATGTAAATAAAAACATAGTCAAAAAAGTTTATCATTTCAAAACCAGGAATGATGCACTAAGCAGTTTTGTTTTAGTAGAATTAACAAACAATGCAAACGAAATATATGTTTTAAAAGCTGCTATAAAGCAGCAAAAAGTATACATTAATCAGGATCAAATTGAGGTCGAAAAGTAACAAAAGAAAGCACTAGTTATTGACAAAAACAAATGTAAGAGAAAACTTGCTATAGAAAGAACTATAGAAGGAAATATCAACAAGCTTTTTTGATATGATAATCAAGGAATTAGAGTCTGCAAAATCTGCATCAAGTAAAATAACAAGAAAATACTGTCATATATACTATATATATAAATCCCTAAATAAAATCATATAATATATGATTTATATGTAATATATTTTATTAGTTAACGTGCCTCATTATTAATACAAAATAATAGATTTTATTCTTTTTAAGTTCATGTACTTTTTGGTTTAAATAGTTAATCATTTATGAATTATCCCGGTGGAAATCGGCTAGCGATTAGCTAGCTATAATCGTTATAATAAAGACAGCGATTTGGCCACGAGGATCGCTAGCTTTTTTAAGTTGCCGAAAAGCTATCGATATTTGTAAAGATAAAGACAGCGATTTGGCTACAAGGACAGCTAGCCTAATAAGCTAAAGACTCACAGGCTATTATAGCTACCGTCATATTGTAATAAAATCGCTATCAAAAAATTTTGGTATGTAGCTATCAACCAGCTATAGATTTGTAGATATTTTGTAGCTAGCTACAAACCTACGATATGTAGCTAGCGACACATTGCTACAAAATCGCAATGTTTAAAGTTCAATTATTCTCATAATTATAATAGACTCAACACTAAAAATCGAACTTTTAAAGATGTTAGAGACATTAGTAAAGAATAAAATCAGAAAAAATCGCTTGAAAATCGCTATGAAGCTAGCTAGTCGCTCGCTAGTCGCTAGCTCATTTCCCACCGGGATGTATTAGTAATAAGTAAATTTTAAAAGTTAATGTTTTTTAAAAGTTTTATTTTACAATTTATGCATTAATGTTAGTTTAGCAAACAGCTTCATGAATTTGCTATTTCGTTACTTATGTTTTATAAACTATAAGATTACATTTTGGTAATGATAGGATCTCATTTTTAATAAGTTGCCAAACCATTATTGATAATGACAGTATACCAAATGTCACAGCTTAAAGGTGAAAAGGCTTCCACAGGTTTCTGTTTCAAATAACAATAGAAAACTCAAACCTGTTGTGACTGAAATGGTAGCTTATCAAGAGCAGCTATTAAACAATGTTGAAGAAAAAAATATATAATTTATGGATTTAAGCAATAATTTTATTACTTAGATATTCTTGTAAATAGCTTTTCTCCTAATTTATTCCAATTTTTATAAAAGTAATTTTTATAGCTAATTTTTATAGTATGTTTAAAATCAACTAGTACTTTTTATTTTATAATGAATTAAAAAAAAAAAATCTTCACAGCTTTTCACTGTCATGGACGTTTATCACACAACGAAACTTTTCAGTGTCTTGTTTAAGTTTTTATACACTGCTTCAGATATTTTTTCTGATGTAATACTGAGAAAGATTTTCTGCTTATTGAGATACTTCTTAAGATGGAACCTGATTATGTGAAACTTCCATCCAGTAATATCTTTATTGCAAATACATCATGATACTTTTAAGTGAAGCATGGACTCCACAAACTTGTATATTTTTTCTTTGTAGGATATATACTGAGTTTCATTCCAAAACAGCATTCAGCTACTAAATCAAACAAAAGTTAACCAAATATTAACTTGCTGAAAATAATAGTATTAACATGTCGTGTCTCCTAATTTTATGTAGACTGGTATGTCAATAGTCCCCTACCTATACTTATTGAATTAAGGTGATCCTAAACTAATAAAATCAAAATTTTAAAAATGCACTAATTTTTTATGATTTTCTTATAAGAAATAGTGTTTTATATTTAAAGCACAGTAAAGGAAAACAAAATTTGTAAATCGCTTTAACTACACCAAGTGGTTACTCATTTATCATAGCACTAACATCTCCCCCTTTCCCCCTCCTCCTACATAGAGCATGTAGCATCAACCTTGTCCATTTTAAATAGAAAACATTTAATAATGAGACATTCAGTATGATGCTAAAGAGAATTGGTTTTGCTCCTACACTAATGCTGGAGGAAGAAATTCGTTTTTATGCTGGTTTCAAGAATGGTACAGTCACATACAAGCAATATTGTTTTGGATTTCTCCTGAGTCTGGTAATCACACTGGCAATTTGTTAAAGCTTTTTTTTTTTGTATTGGTTTAATTCTTTCTTGAAAATGATTTTTAAACTGGAACTGGTGTGAAAAACTACAATGTGTAATTCAAAAATCTTTACAATATTTTTTAATTCCAAAATCTTTACAATATTTTTTGGAGAATACATAAGAGTACCAAGTTCATATAGTTGCCAAGTGATTTTTAATCACAAGGAGTATGGCATAAGAAGTCGGCAGGGTCTTAAGATTGACATTTAGCCATTAGTCAGCACCAGTGAGATGGTGGTGATTTTAGTTATTGTATATTATTTATTGGACTTATAATATCCATCTTGTTTTGAACAGCTGCTTGGTTTTTTTCAATAGATTTGAACAAATTATTTTCATATCAAAAAAGTGCAATGCACCATTGAACTCTTTTCGAAGTTATCTTAAGTTTGTTTGAAATATATACGCATGACCCTAAACTACATGATACTATATATAGAATAATTTATAACGATTACAAACTTATACTAAAAAAAGTATTTGTAAAGCATTTTATCTTTATAAAGACAAATCTTACACAACATCCAAAATGAATGGATATATATGGAAATATTCATATGTATGGATAATATGGAAATATTTACAAGTGAGTAAATATTTCCATAGAAACCAGTATTTTAGAGTTTCTCAGAATGAAAAAAACCTTTTTCCTCATAAGTATAGAACGTAGTTAATGTCTTTTTCCATAGCAAACTGTTTTATAAAAAAATTGCAACTATTTGTGTAACAACTAACAATATATATATATATATACATATATATATATATATATATATATATATATATATATATATATATATATATATATATATATATATATATATATATATATATATATATATATATATATATATATATATATAACATATAGAGAGAGTTTTTTAGTGAATTGCATGGTTATTATACAAAAAAACATATTTTAAGATTACTGAACTTTCCTTAAACATAACAGGTATTTACCCATTTTCTCAAGTTTTCAAATATAACAGATAACATAACGCCAGTTTTTGTGTTTTATAACGGGTAACTACCGTTATGTTACTTCTATACAAATTATACATTGAACATAACGGTAATTACCCATTATGTTCAATGTTTAATAATAGTAATATTAAAATTATCAAGTAGAGTAGTAATCATTTATTGTTAATTAAAAAAATTAAATACATTAGAGCTTACTTCATTATAACAACCTTTAACAATTTTACATAATTGAAATATATTGAAAATATACCTGGTTCCATTAAGCTGTGTTTTCAGAAGGAGCCGATAAGTTGGTTTTAGTTCTATAGTATGTATGTATGTATGTATGTATGTATGTATGTATGTATGTATGTATGTATGTATGTATGTATGTATGTATGTATGTATGTATGTATGTATGTATGTATGTATGTATGCATACTAAATAATTATATAACAGTTCACATAAAGAGTTTAGACAACCAGTATACCTTCATCATGCAAAAACCCTAAATTGTGACCAAATTCATGACCAATTGTATGTACTGTAGCGGCATCATTTTCATATTCCCACTTAAATGAAATAAAAATTAAAATTGAAATTAAAAAATGTGTAATCATATAACCATTAAAAATTATCTTTATATAATGTCTGCAATTATATTATGTTAATTTGAAATAATTAAAGAAAATACTCACATAAACAATACTTATACAATTTGTTTTACACATGGTATCTAAGTTTGCTTTTCCAGAATTGCGTGGCCAAGAATTATGACTAAAAAAGAAACAATAATTTTAAAATGAAAAAATAAACATTTTAAAAGTTTTGTAAAAATGTAAATAATTCTAACTAATTAAAACATTAAATTTTCTTTTTTAGTGTTTCTTTTTTTAATTGCAATATATGTTTAACGTTTGAAATACCTAAACAATAAGTACTTAGAAGTATTTAAAAATAATGTTAAATGTCAAAAAATAAAAATGTTTTTTATGTCAAAACTGTCAATAGTTTGTTTGCTCAAGTATTTTAAAGTTTTGTTGGCTGAAAAAATAAAAGATTAAAAAAAAAAATGAACTTGTTAACAAATTGCTTACTTAAAAGACTGCTATAAAGAAAAAGAAGAAAGTTGTTGAGGTACTGGTATATATAAATATAGAGTTTATATTTTGTAATTTATAAAAGAAACAGAAAAAAGACAAAAAAAAACAGATCCAAAATTTGTCGAAAATTTTTTTTACACTTTTTACAGTTTGTGAAAACCCCTGGAAAAACTAACTTTATGGTTTTATTAAATTCTCGTCGCCTCCATGTTAACGTGTTTTTGAAGTCTTAAAATAATACACTGCAACCTATACACTTTATAAATTTACCCAAGGGCATTTATATAAAAAAAAATTTTAGAATTAAATATGACACCATTGTAGGATTTATTTTTTTGAATTAAAATGATTTGTTTTTGCTCATTTTATTTTTTCAATAAGGCTTCAAAATTTTTTCAAATCCGGAATAATAAGAAACTTGAACCTTTAGTGTGTATTTTACACAAAAAAGTAGATAGAATAAATAAATAAACAAACAGCATAAGAAGTAACAGTGGATTTTGTTTATATTAGTTTAATTATTTGCTTAATATGGCTACATCACTTTCTTGAGTTGTCATTGGTTGTTCCAATCACTCAACAAAACTTAAAAAGTGGAAAAAAGTTATTTGTGAAATCATAAATATTCAAGAGAAGATCCTAATTGCTGCTGTTCTGAACCATTTAAACTTATTCCTTTTCTTACTGAAAAAAAAGACACAGAGCATCGATCCATTTGGAAAAAATTGATAAATTGGGTAAATTCAGAAAAATCTCATTGGGATGCTACGTAAGTAAGTACAGTAGAGATTGTTCACAACATTTTATAAATGAAAAATATAAATATCCTACAGAGCTATTGGGATACAATGCATTAAATAAAATAAGACAGGTTCCTTCTATATTCATCGCCACTATATCTGCCCCTACTTGTAAAAATGCATCTGTGATTACAACAGTTAATAAAATAAATGCTAAAATAAATGTTAAAAAAAAACAGTTTAAAGAACTCTACTTTCAAAACTAAAATCCAAACAAACATTAACGAAAAAACTTCAGTAATGCATAATAAAGTTCTTCCTGTTTTTTCTTCAGAAATATTGAAAGACAATCTTGTTACTTTAGCATCAAAAAGTTTGTCTCAAATACTGAAAAATATATTCAATTAAATTCAATTATTTTGACTCAAATGGTCTTTTTAATTTTAACTCTTTATGCTTTAATTATCAATGGTTATTTAGAAATTAAGAAGTTAAAAGCTGAAAATATTAAACTTTAAAGCAATATTATAATACAACCAACTAAGCCTATATCTGTATATAAGAAACTTCTATCAAACAGTAACATAAAATTCTATACAAATCTTTATTCTCAGAGTTATTTAATAAATTGCATGACTTTATTAGCCCTTATGTTGAAAAACGATTTAGTTCTGTTTCTGTTAAAAGAACTGTCAGCGGAACACTAAAAAAAGTAGGACGTGCAAGAAAATTATGTTCACAAGATGAGTTTCTGCTGACTTTAATGAAACTTCGATTAGGATCATTTAACAAAGATCTTGCTAGTCGTTTTGATGTTTTTATTAGAACATGTTCCAAAAATTCTACAAGCCCTTTACAATGGAAAAAATAAAAAAAATTTTGCAGCTATAATTGACTGTTCAGAAATTTTCATACAAACCCCAATAAATTTGGAATTGTAAAGTCTTACTTAGTCTTAATATAAACACCACAATATTTCAAAGTTTTTAACAGGTGTTGCTTCTAATTCTTTTATTGTTTATATCAGAAGCTTATACCAGTCACATATCCGACAAAGCATTAAGTATGGATTGTGGTTTTCTTGATTTATTATCACACGCACACACACACAAACTCACACACGCACGCATACACACACACTTATATATATATATATATATATATATATATATATATATATATATATATATATATATATATATACATTTGTTTAATATGTATATAGTGTTTTGTTTGTTTGTAAAATAAAGTAGAATGTAATACTTTTGTTTCACGAATATTACTATATACTACATACTTTGATTTAAGTCAATCATTAGTTCATCTAAATCTTTAATACTGTGTAAAGTTGTTGAAGTTTCTAATCCATCATCCAGCTATAGGATATTTTTATATTTTAAATTATTTATTAAATTACATATATTTTTAATTATTTACAAACCTATTTTTAGATAAAAATCTGTATATTTTTAAATATTTTATTGTTTTAAAAGCAAATTTTTAAAAATTGCTAAGTTTTTAAAAACTGCTAAATTAAATTGCGAACTTGTTATTAGATATCTTAATAACTAATTTATTTATCTTATCACTTATTTCCATCTACTTTTATCTACTTTTTATATATGTAAAAACGCACGGAAAAATATTTCTTGCTTTTTAAAATTAATTTTGAATATCGTCTATTGCATGTCTTTCTTTTTTTTTTTAGTTAAAAAGTATTGATATTTATGCCAATTCGGTGCAAATTGATAAATTTTGATGATTTGCATATATATATATATATATATAAAGGTAGTTTTGCATTTTCCAATTGGATTTCGGTTAAAATGTTGGCAACTCCAACCTGATTTAAACCTTTTGAAAAAAAGACAAAGAAAACCATTATCAATGGATAAAAAAAAGGACATAGTTGACAATCACATCATCTATGAAAACTCAAATTTTAAAATTGCTAAAGAGGCAAAATAAAATCATTTGAATGGCACTGAAAAATTGTGTTAATTTGGATAATGTAATACTATGCTACTTCAAAAAGAATGTTTTTGTTGCATTGAAAAGGAAATAAATATCCCCTCAGGTATTACGACTTAAGTAACATTCTTTAAAATATAAACTAATGTATGCGGTATTAAAAGTAATAACAGTAAAAACAAAATCAATTTTTAGCAAGTAATGTAAGTTTTTTTTTTTTTTTTTTGAAATGTTCAAATTAAACAAACTAATTTTTACCTAAAGAATTGCATTTTTTGGAAGTATTTTTTTAAAAAAAAACTAAATGTAAAACAAATACTTCCAAAAAATCATGTAAATTAAATTTAACTATGTATGAGCTAAATATAAAACAAATAGCTGCACCACACTTGGAAAATTTTTTTTTTTTTAATTTCATTTCAAGATTTACTTAACACTAGATTTACATGTTCTAGTTGCAAACTTTATATAAAATAAAATAAATTAAATATATTCGTGCATGATTAAATAAGAATTTCGAGAATTTGTAACTAATAAAAAGTTTAGCAAAGAGATACTCTAAATTAAACTTTTATAACGTTAACTAATAAAATATAACTTTTTAATTATAATTATTATAATAATCATTTAATAACATTAAATAAAACACAACACTAAATTATAGCAATAGCTTGAATTTATTTAAAATATTTTATTCATATTTTTAATCTAAAATTGGCTGAAATTTGAAAATAAAATAACTAAAGAAATTCTTAAGGAATTCATGACAAAAAAAAAAAAAAAAATTACTTAATAATAAGTAACTAAACAAATTCTTTAGTTTATTCTATAATTATATAAAAAATTCTAAAATTTCAAAAAAAAAAAAATTTTCTAGATTTTTTATCAAAACTCTTCAATGAAATTATATACTACTTGGAATTAAATATGCTTGAATAAATTATAAAATCTGTAGATTGTAAGGTATATTTTAAAGATTCAAAAAACATCCTAACACAGAGACAGCGAGCTTTAAGTAAAACTACAAAGTTTTTTATTTATAAATAAGTTAATTGTTTTGTTTTAATCATAAAAATTCAACACAAAGATTTTTTTCTAAACATTATTTTTAATATGAATACAATTTGTCTCAGCACTTTGGGATCCCTGTAACAATTGAAAGCATAAAAAATATATTCTTTATTTCCTTTAAAATAAAATAAATCTGTGTAAAAACTCTTTACATAAACAATCTCACACTTACTTTAGCATGCAATAGTAGGTTAGAGAAAAGATTTTAGTAGACTGTAGTAGGCCAGGTTAGAAAATGTGTATTAAGTGCATTTTTAAGCTAACCTACTTTTAAAATTCATAGAGCAACCTTATGATTTATGCTAAAAAGTACAAAAAAAAAGCTGCTTTAAACAACCTGTGGCTCTCATTAAAAAAAAGCTTTTCAAAAACAAAAATTTAGAAACTCAAAACTGAAAAACATGAAATTTTTTATACTTGATTAAAATAATAAAAATTATGTATGTCACATATATCTCATTTATGCTATCATTTTATGTTTTGAATGAAAAACAACATTTTAGTTTATTGCAGTGATGTTGAAAAATAAAAATCTTAATTAATAACTAAATACATCTTAAAAAATATACATATAAAGTAATTAGTATTGTTATGCCTACTATATTAATTAAAATAATAAATAATTTGATTCATATAATATTAATATCAACTCGACTGAAATTTAAAGTATAGAAATAAATTTTTTTTTTCTTCTTTTCCAGATTAAATTTGTTTACTCCTCCACTTTGTTTTTGTTCAAATCAAATTTAAAAAGTTTAAATAAATTATAATAAAAATAAAAAAATGATTTTTAGTCGCTTAGCCCTCCCTAGCCCTAATAATTTTAAATATTTTTGTATGTAATTATTTTTGCTAAATTTCAAGAAGCATATAGAATCAGATTGTAAATATG